CCTCCCCCTTTGACAGTCAGCAATGCAAGCAAGGCTGCTGCTGCTCCCCATACACTGTACCAGGAATAGCATCTCAGACTGCCCACATACTAAGATGATCCTGGTAACTAGAAAAGCTAACATCAAGGATGAACAGGTCTTTATTATGCTACTAAATGAGTTACCTTCCAATTTATTAGCATTACCAGGAACTAGGAGCACGTTTCTCAGTCATCCAGACAATCAGGATAATTCTAGCTTTTGTAATTTGTTCCCGACAGCCTGAGACATCAGTAACAGCACACAGACTTTGTGCACATCACTTGGCAGCTCCGGTCCTGGCACACACTGTCTCTGCCAGTCCCACCCAGAGATCCAGGCAACTGATCCAACTGGCTCAAGAAGCTACCAGGACTCTTTGAGAGTGTTTAGGCCAGGCTGATTGAAAGCCAAAAATCCTAACTCTGCTCATAAAGGACAGAGCATGATCCTTGCAAGTGCTCTAGTTATTTATACCAGGCTTTAGCAGCTCTTGGTGCTGGACAAACACTGCGCATGGTTGTGGTGTTTGCCTCCAAGAGGATATGATAGAACTAGGAAAGGATCAGAGCAACAGCATAGACCAGTGGTGCACAGAAAAGCCTCTCAGGTTAAAGGAGGTTTGGCAGCATAAATCTCTGACTGGGGAAATGCTGAAGATTCATAAACACCATAAGCATGCAGGAAAAGGAATGATTGTTCTCCAGATCTTACTATACAAAACCTAGAAAGGACCAACAGAAATCTCAGGTAGCTAGTGATGAAAAAAAGGGACAAGCAGCACCTTTTCTTGTAGTATGTAATTAAAATACGAGACATTACCCAGAATAAGATGAAGCCAGAGGTGTCAAAAGGCCCCAAAACACAACCAAGGACAGTCCCCTTGAGCCGCACAGTTTAAAAGCCATCAGACCCATAGTTTTATCTCAAAAACCCCTATACATCTGAATTTCAGGAATCAGGAAGATAAGAACTGGTTCATCCCTGCCTTGATCTCCATTCTTCTCCTTAGCAGTCACCATCTCCAGCTAGAGAAGAGGTTTGCAGTTTAACCCAGAACAGCCCTTCAGGCCCAGGACACCAGGAGAAATCTTCTCATGAACTCAAATACAGACATGTCTGAACCTCAGGGCCTTGAATACAGGCTCATAGCTCCATCCGCCACCCTCTGAGGGGTTTGGGTGTGGGGTGAACCTTGTCCCCAAGATTTCTGAGGTTTCCACCCTAAGACAGGTTGCAGCAACATAGTAAGAAGTCCCTTTGCTCCTACCTTGGGAATACTGCATTGAGAACATACAGCCCCAAGCCAGCTGAGGAACTGCACTTTTGTGTGATTTAGAGCTGCTAATGGGTGATGTCATCACTGGCCTGAATGCAACCCCATAGAAATGTGAAAAGAAAGCGAATAGGAGCTCTAAAACATAGTTGTCTTCACAATAGCAACAGGCACGTCGCAGCGGGGCAGCTTTCCTTGATATTCATCTACAACTGGAGGAGTTTACAAGAAACAACTGAAAAACATTACAAAGAAAATCTTTCAAGGAGCAGCAATCTCTTATTTTCCATGGCCTTTTTCAAGAGCGGATCAGCATGCTTCCTGGAAAGTAAAGGAGACAGGCTCCACGGCACTGTTGTGGAAAGAAACTGAGCAAGCGTTCTCTGGACAGCAAACCAAGCCATTTTGGGCCACTATCTGTTAGGTTCAAGCTTAGCTCAATAGGATATCGATCCTGGCTGCATGTAACACAGCCCTGATTTGTTCTCAGTTTAACAAGTTCTACTGCCTGATTTTTGATGAACAAAATGTCCATCACTGCAGGTAAATTAAAAATGCATTTATCAGCAATGCCAGTGTGCAGGCATTGAGCAGCAAAAAAAAGAGGGTTGGGAAAAACAGGAGGAAAGGGGCACTGAATGAACACTGTAATATTTACATAAGGGTATGTTCAATAAATGCAGAGCCTTCCCCCACTGCCTCCTCCAAAACACACCGAGACACTGGCTGTCCTTCTTCCTATGGAAACAGTTAAGGAGAGCAAAAGCTTCTCTTGGCTTTCATGGGGTTTAGCTACAAGCTGAAAATGAGATCAGGTTTTCCGACATTCACCATTTACCTTAATACAAATGTGCACTCAACAGGATTAGCAGGTACACAGCTCTGCGTGTGGTATCATGAGCTGCATTTTCATGATCTTTTGTGCCTACACATTAAAAAAGAGAAATCAAAATCCCTCTGTAACGTTGAAGATCAATGCAAAACTGAGCTTAAGAACTGAGCGCTCAGCACTGCCTGGGAAACATGAAGTAACGTTTTTAAGCAGAAATCTTGCACATATGGCAAAGGGAAGCTTTGGATAGAGTAGTAAAATGGTATTTCAAGAACTGATGTGCTACCTATCTATATTTATAAGAACATATTAAGTACTAGTTCAGCACCGTCCTTTTTTATTATTCCAGAATAAATTACAGAACCTGCCTGACCTTTTTTTGAAACACACAGATCAGAGTCTGTCTTCCACAGAAATGAAATTTAAGGTCCCACTTGTGTCACCACCTCAAACCCTGTCTCTGGAGAAACAGTCGGGTTTGTCAGGAGTAAACGTTCTTCAGCAGTCTCAGTGTGGAATGCCAGGATCACGTCTGTGTCCACTAATCTGCCTTGCTCAGCCTGCCCCTTGTTAGCTGAGCCAGGCAATAGGCAGATGAAAGGATTCCTGGCCAGTGAAGGAAGCCCAAGGAAGAGGAGCTCCTGCTTTCTAGCACAGAGCCACAGCAACACAGGAGTGAGCTAAGAACATAATAAGGATCTAGGAAATTCAGAGCAAACACAACAGGCTACAGAGAAAACACTAATTCCATTCCCCATGTGAAGCTGCAGATCTTTCAGTGTTATTTCTCTCCTATAGGTCCCTCCACCTCATTACTGGGTTTGGAAATACAGTCCCAGACACAGGAAAGCATTTATCTAACCAAGCACATGAGTAACCCTGTTATTTTCAGTAGCCCCACACACACACTCCCCAGACACCAAAAACTGGGCATGAACTCAAGTGTCTTGTAAATCCAGCCCTTGAATTATAGGATTAGAGGTCTGTGATTTCCTCAGTGGAGATGAGTCTTGTACTTAATGTCGGCCAGTTTATGCTTTGCCTTCCCTGCATTGCCTGCCTGGTGGGAAGTCCATGTACAAGACGATTTCAATACAGCCCAGCTAGCATCACCATTGGAAACCAGCAGCTTTGACGTTAACAGGATTGTACTTCAAAAGACTACGCATGTTTGCAGATGGCAACAGGGTTCCTATTCCAGCTGTCTAATCAAGCTGATAGTCCACAATTATGCTCTGAGATCAAACAGCTCTGCAAGCAGCACTCACAATAAAACCAGCACCAGTAAATGCTGGTGTCACACATATAAGCATCACACACTCAGTTGTGATTCCACAAACATGGGACATAAAGGAGGTTTCAGCTACTCTTGCAAAACTTTTACCATCTCAGTCATAGCAAGGCAGTTCAAAAGCCATATATCTGTTTTGATTCTTGACCTGTGTTTATGGAAAAAAACCTAACACATGCCTAAACAAATACCAATATGGCTGTAATTCAGACAGCTTTTACGTATAGCCTTAACTTTCAGTACAGAACTGCTGGAGTCAGCTGAATTCAAACGTGTACTTGAATGCTTTGCTGAAGGATAAATCAAGCCACATGCCAAAGTCCTTTCTAGAATTAGGGCCTTGACTTTCTTTTATTTAGTTGTTTTTAAACACACAAAAGGGCATAGTGCTCACTAGGAATCAGAACATACCATCAGTGCGAGTAATTGTAGCATCTGTGCTAATTCTCTTTTCATCTTGGTACCCCCTATGCTTCCAAGCATGTAAATCTGATTCTCCTTGTGACTCCACTGAAGTTTCTATTGATTAAACACCCAGCCCCAGCAGCAGGAGAATCAAGCCCTGCATATTTATTTTCTTCTCTCAATACAGAAAGAATTCCCTTTGGACTCTCAATTGTTATATCACAAGGTACACTGACTGCAAATAGAAATACAGTGATAATGTATCTAATGAATACATTATATATGTACACAAGCATTTTCCTGACAGCATCCTACTCTAGACCACTAACCAGACCAAAGAACAGAGATGTCCAGTGCACACAGTAGCAGAGGTGTGTGAAATGAGTTTGTATTAACAAGAGCTAGACTGCAGTTTTCTGGGGGAAAAACCAACTGCAATCCTTCCAAGATGAAGGCTGCAAGATCAGGACCTCACGCAGACCTTTGGAACATTTCCTCTGGAGCTTTAAAGCACAATTTGTAGACCATAAGTGTTACTTAATGTTTGTGTTTTCATTACCCACTAGCATTACCCTGTATTTATATAAACAGATACTAAAACTGTTGCAATGCATAGCAGAAAAATATTGTAAGCATTTCCAAGAAAGAAATTAGGGATATCATTTCAAGCCAAAGTATAAAACACACAGGTAGCATTTCCAGCTCCATCTGTAAGATGGTTTTAGAAAAGGGTTTTTTTATAGCAGACCAAAGTCATTCTTGCCCAAACTCCACTGATTTCAAAGTTGTAACAGCTTAAAAATGGGATGCATTTAATTTATTAACTCACTCCATGCTGACTTTCAAAGTCAGAAGACAGATTGATTTAAATCAGGTTCAAGTACCCAGTGGCAATTAGAACCTGCAAAGCTGGAGCAATGCTGGTAAACATCCAGATAAGATGCACGACAGCATATATGCAAATAACTATCGTCCAAGCCTCTTTGCAGGTGGTTCAAACAACACTTTAAAAGTGACTTATTCAGCACAATAGCCATTGTTTTAAAACAGTATGGTCAAAATGCAGTTTTCTTGGAGTTTCACTAAAAACACTGCCATACCAACCCATCGTAGAAAAACAACAACATGAATCCAAGCAAGAGTCCCCTTTAAACTCAGAGCAGGAGGAGGTCACTTACCCTGTGAGGACCACAACAAAATCCATCACGTTCCAACCGTTTCGGAGGTAAGAACCTTTATGAAAAACAAACCCCAGAGCGATGATTTTTATACCAGCTTCAAAGCAAAATATTCCAATAAAGTACGGTTCAGTGTCATCCTGAAAAAGAATAAAACCCAAAGGTGTCAAGGAGATATGTACAGTTCTGCACTGATAGCAAGAATCATACAAACAACTACACGCACTAACTTCCTGCCCTTTTCAGCTCTTTGAACAGAGGTGAAACCAAAAGGTTTTGATTTACTGAAACTAAACAGAGAAGAATCTTGTTACCATTTCTCTGCAGCGACAGGACAAAGGGTGATGGTTTAAACTTAAACAGGCAAAGCTCAGGTTAGATATAAGGAAGAAGTATTTTACTGTGAGGGTAGTGAGGTGTTAGAACAGGTTTTGCAAACAAGTGGTGAGTGCTCCGTCCCCAGCAGTGTTCAAGGCCATGTTGGACAGAGCCTTGAGTGACACAGCCTAGTGTGAGGCATCCCTGCTCATAGCAGGACCTTGGAACTGTATGATCTTAAGATCCTTTCCAACCCTAACTACTCTATGATGGTAAATTTGCTTTTTCACATTTTTCACAACTCTATCTGCCTTTATCCTGATTGTTTCACCCTGCTATTTCTATCTTTACTCAATATTCTGGAAGGAATTTTAATACTCAAATTTTGCTCTAAGGGCATATTTACACTCGAAATAATACATTTCTGTACTTAGTGACATGGAAGAAAACATGTGCTTTACAATTCATCCAGGAACCCAGAACAAGAGGGTATCTTGGGGAGTAGCAGTCAGCACAGCCAGCTTGCAAACACTGGCAGGAAATTATTTATCATTTATTCCATCAGTTCTTCCTTCACTTTCCTTCTTTCTCCTCCATTTTCTGGATTTCCACAGCTGCAGTGTCATCTGTTTTCTTTTCACTGTGTATCTGACTCAGGGAGAAAACCCCACTCCCTTCCATTAACAGCAGAAGCATCAGGTTTGTGTCTCAGGCCCTTGGTGCAGAATAAAGCAGATCACGGGATCACAACTTCAAAAGAATCAAGCTTAGTCTCTATGGTTTTATTAAACCACTTTTTCATCTGTAGCACCAGATCCTTAGTATTCAACTTTATTGTAAGAGTTTCAACCCAAAAGCAATCAATCTGGCACCTGGAACTAATTTCCAAATGTGCCTTAGATCCCCAATTTCAGCTGGAGGCAATGGAAGTCAAGCAGCCCTACCCTAAAGAAAGGAAGTTCCCAAATGAAGAGATTAGAAATCTTTGTTGCAGTGGCTTTAGCATCTCAAGCCATTAGAGTTGGGCTGCACTTTGATACACAGCTGTTTACATTTTGCAATTCTACTAATGACAAAGGTGAGTTTAGTTCTCCTACACAGAAAGAACATGAATGTGGAATCTTGCAGCCACAGAACAAAGAATTGGTTTTGATATAAAAATTTCTTTTACAAACATGGCAACACTTGCTAAACTCTGACCCAGCACTAGCAGACAGCCCTGTTCTTTAAGCATGGTACTTGTTACAGAAAGCCAGGTTTTTCCTACCTAGAAGACTAATATAATAGCATACCCCTCCAGAAGAGGCTTACACGCTTAGAACATCAATGTATATCCAACTCATCAAGTCAACCACAAAGCACTAACCACTGAAGGGGTTTCCAAACTGTTGGAAATTACTGCTTCTAAACAAGCTCTCTCATCAGTTTTGTTTCCTGCCCCACATCCCTACACACCTCAGTGACCCCAGCTCCTCCATACACTTCATCTGTCACCCTACATCATCCTCATTCCTCTCCACCTTTCCTTACCTCACAGCCCAGAAACTCCACTTTCCATTCCCCTGTGGCCAGGCAAGATGACCAGTCACCTGCAGACCACACACACTCTGCCTGGCAAGTGACTGTTGAGCTCACATTGTAGGCTTTTGGCTGAAATGGAGGGGGAAAAAAACAAGCCCCAAAGTATCTTCTCTTCCAGCCAGAGCTGTTTCTACAAATGGCAGCACCTCCAGGCCCTCTAATCACCCACAAACCCTGCTCAGAAGATACAGAGGCTATCACTGACAGACTGAGAAAGACCAACTACCCATCTCAGTGCTATTTACCCACAGGAAAAGAGGAACCAGGCAAGGCCATCAGACCTTTCATGACCTTCAACAGAAATCCTACAATAAGAGTCCTCCTCCAGCAGCTTCTTCATAACACAAATTAGAAGCATCCCAGGACTCCAACCCATTACAGAAAACAGGGAAGAAGAAAAAAGGGGTCAGAAATCAACATGTGTGATTTCAGTACCCTACTGCTCTTCTGCTTTCCCCCATACAAGCAAGAGCACTTTAATAGCCTTATCTGCCTACTCTTCAACCCCACAACATCTTCTAGTTCAACAAGCATATTAAATCTTTGCAAACAAAGACCTCCCAAACCATCCTATGCTTTCCTTCCCACAACTACTAGTATGCCTCTAAAAATAGCTCTTCTAACACATACAAAAATGTACCTTTACCCACCTACACCTCCTTTCATTACTCCCTCACTTCCTGGAAGCCTTATATCAACTCTGCTCCCAGTCGTTTGCTCAATCTAGGTCAGGTGCCTTGTGATTACAGCTCCCAGTTTTAAAGAGCCAGGCTTCAGGTACTCAAGGATTTGGTAGAATATGTTCTTCCCAAAGCTAGGACTCCACAAGAGCTCTTAGGAAGTGGGTCAAAGAAGGTCTTGTCAGCTCCTAGCTAAGCAGGAAGGCTCACAGATGGGCTTGAGTATTATTATAAAGAAAAATGTCATCTATAGGGTTGGGGAAATAAGAGGGGATAGAAAAAGGGTGTTTTCTAAAGCCTGTCTAAATTTACAGCAATTCAGCCTAAGAATCAGGGCAGTAACAACACAATGAAAAATAAACTTTATGCTCCATTCCATAGTGGGACCTGATGCTGAAAAAGGGGGATTGCATGACTTGTGTGATGGAGGGAACTGAGGGCAAGGACATGGGGGACATTGCTGCCAGATCAGCAATCTTGCTGCCAGGACATCCTGCAACCCCCTTCAGACAGGAGGCTGTGTTGCTGCTTGGGTTCAAGAGTAGGAAATCAGGTGATAATGAATATCAGTGTGCGTACTTGGAAGGAAGGAGAAGCTGGGCAGCAGCCAGAGCTGTGCCAGCAGGTTGTTTGCTGTGGACACAGCAAAGCTTGAGGCTGGGCCAAACACACATTTAATCAATATGTTTCAGATCAGAAACAACTTCTGAGTCTGGAAAGTCATTACTATTCGTAGTCCATGTCCTCGTGTCTTTCCTTGGCCTTTGATGTGATAGCCTTGATAGGTTTGAGTGTGTAAGGCATTGTTCATGCAAAAGTTAATATGAACAGCTCACATCCAACTGCACAAAGTGTCTGTGGATAGGATAAAGAAATAAATCCATTTTATTATTAAGTGCAAAAGCTGCCATTCTGAATATCTGAGAAAAATTATATTTTGTCCTCACCTTAAAAACACCCAGGGGAGCCAAACACTTAGAGCCCTGCAGTGGGGTGCAGAGGAACATCCTATAGATGTCTCTGTCAGGCTGGGGCAAGTCTATGGTCTACTGAAGCTTCTCAAGAAAAAGTGAGACATTAGGAAAGAGACATGGAGAAAATGACCATGTCTCAGCCTAAAGAGCCAAGAGCATCATGAGAATGAAGCATCCAAGAGCAGGGCCATTCAGGGCTTATGTGTGAAACTCCCTACATTTGGAGCTCTCACTAGCAGGCACTAGGCCACTCAGTACAACTCCCTCAGCAACTTTTCAGTTGGCATCACTCCACTGTGTATAAACAATGCATTATTTCTTAGGACAGAAGGAGGCTGACTTTGTAACCTATTGGCTAAGGCACTCAGCTGAGATGGACAATAGCAAGTTTGTAGTATCTGTTCCAGCAGATAATTACTGATGTGAAGTAAACTCTTCCAGCAGCCAAAGCATGTGAAAGTCCCAGCTCAGAGCAGGTGAGAAACTAGAGGGTAGGTCATTCTACAGCTAGCAGAAGAATTACCTTATTTCTCTTGTCTGAAGAGTAAGTCCTCGAAGCCAGTGCTCCAGATCACCACTAAATGCTTTGACCACCAATATGGTGTTTTTATCAGAGCCCTAGTTTTAACCAGCATTAACTCAATGTTTTTCTGTGCTGCAGTTACATACAGAAAATGGACAGAGAAAGATTACTCGCAATTCAGCCACTCCAACTCTTGAAATACTGCATCTACTGAGACATCACTTGCTCTTCCCATGTGCTTAATTAACCCTGCTTAACAAGTAACACGAGCACAGGAAACAGACAAGAGAGACTGCAGTGCAGGTTCATATCTTAGGTCTCTGGGGAGCTACGTAGAAGAATATTTTGAATAGAAGAGAAAAATCATGCAGTGTTTGCATGGACTCCTCCCTCTTTCTCTCAGCTTTAACCAATAGACAATCTTGAGGTTTTTGTCCTTGTATCTGTGCCACAAAGTATCTGGGCAGCTTTGGTTTCCCTTTAACACCTCTGCCTACATCTCCCAGTCATAAAAGGCTTGTGATGTGCATCTCATATCCTTAAGACGTGACTAACTCTTCAGTGATGAGCCCTCACTCCAATTTGGAGATTTTAATGAACCCAGGAGAAGGAAAGGTACATCCATCAATCATTAAGCCAAAAGCCAATTCCATTTCTGGCAAAGACAGCAATAGAGCCCCTGCTCTTCTTTATGGACTTATAATTTGGCTCAAAACCTGTAAATGTATGGGAATGTTGGTCAACTGTGATTTAGCATGGATTTGTAACATTTTCAGTGAAATAACTTACAGTTTGTGGAAGTGGCAGGAGGATTCTAAGGAGGTTTCACTTTGAAAACCAGGAGACAGTTTCTCATATTCACAATGCTTAATCTTTCCAGCATATGTTGAAAATAAAAAATATTACATTACTTGTAAAGATTCTCAGTGTTATTCTATGCTAAACCCCTTTAGAGTTACAAATGTACTGTAGCTAAAATAGCTTCAGAATATCTGGATCGAAGGCAATATTGCACAACGGTGTTTGGGACAAAAAACAGGGGTTAATTCGTCCTTCTTCACCAAGGCAGAGCCAACAAGGTGGACACTGTGCATTCAACTCATACAGTTACCTTGCACAATTTGGTGGTAATGCCAGTGCCCCCTTTGGAATGATTTGGGCAGGAACTGGAGGGGTGTGTGCAGTACTGGGTACTGTAGAATGCAATTAGTAGAGTGGGGAAAAAAAACAACAAAGAACCTCTAGGATCCACTTACAATTCTAGAGTTAGAGAGGAACATTGGAACAATGCGCTAACTATACCTACCACTCCTTCAAAATAACAGTTCACCAAAGGGTTACCAACCACAACATCCACAAAACTACTTTTCCCCTTCACTGGTTCCTGTTTTCAGAGCTATGGAAGACATTTCCCCAGCTCTGTCATCACCCTGAGTCTAAACTTCTGCCTGGCTAGTCAATCCCAAAGCACACAAAGACATGCTTAACGGCAGCAAGATCAACACACGTCCGTGTTCTACAGTTTTTCTTCATCTCTTCCCAAGTACAAAGAATTCAAACAGAAAGAGACTAAGCAAACACAATGCAGGTGGGCAGCCAGCATGAGCAGATACATTTCCAAACAGGCAGCATCAACTCGCTGACCCTGAAGCTCTTTCTAGATCTATCAGTTACACGTTCTTTCCTGTTTCTGCACAGTGAGATTGTGAGAGTTGCCCAGTGGTGTGGACCAAACATAGAAACTGTAGCAACCAGTATTCAGGGGCTCTGGCTTTTGGCAACAAGCTTAATATTACTTTGGTTTACATAATTTAATATCTACATGCAAAAGGCATGTGGGTTTGTATTTATTCATCCTTTGAACATGCGCCATGATTAATGCATTTAGGCATGAAAGATGTTCCAGACCATTAACAGCAGGAGAAAAATCAAACCAAATATTACCCATTTTTCCTACAGCGATGATAAATGGAAGAATGGTTTTGAAGCTATTCTCATATTTTCTTTTGAAATAAGGTAATTGGGCTCATTACCATAAAGCCTGTGGGTAAATTATTTTCTTCTCTAAGTTGGTTTCTTTTTTTGGAAGGGAAGTGTAATCATCTAAAGCCAAAGTTTGCTTTTGTAGGATCCTTGGTATGTGCTGTAACAGGAAGCTAGCTTAAAGACATGGGAACCTAAAAGGTTACTCTGTTCTAGCATTTCCTGGGAAAATATCACACAAGTTCATTTGATTCTACAGATGATTCTGAGCATTTGGCAGCTCCTTCTTGTCCTGGTTTATAAACAACCTAAGTTTGCTGCTCTTATGATCATAATTCTGCTCCTGCAATTGGGCAGGGCTAGAGTGATGAAGCATTCTTGTGGAGATGAGACATGCAGGTTAAAATTATACTGGTTGTCACTGTCTTATTTTGTCTGATTATCAGGTTAATGCCCATTTGTTTATACACGGATCTTTACAGTAGGTACAAGCACTCACAACACCAGGGGGCTGACTGCTTTTTGTACAGAAACAAGAAATTGAAATAAATAATACAACTCACCAATCTCTCTGACATAGGTGTCTTGTCTCCATCCGGCAAATGTTGTTCCAGAGCCAGCACAATACAGTTGGCTATGATTGTAGCTAAAATCATGTATTCAAATGGAGTAGGGACCAGAAGTTAAAGAAGACACTAGACAATGCATTTCTACCTAAACAGTTACATTAGTTGAGCATTCTGAGATTTCTTATCTTTTTTGAAGATACTTAGTCTCCTTGACTTCCTCGGCTCTTTCTGGGGTGTCTCTGGAAGGAAAGTAGGAAATTGCCTCTTTTCTTTGAGGGAGTTGGTGACTTATACAGAACCCAGTGTGCTCAAGGATTTTGGGAGCAAGAAAGTGGAAGGTCCAAAGGGAACAGAAAGTTATTAGTAACTGTTGGGTTTGCATGATATTGATAGGCTAAACTACCCCGAAATAGAGTCTACAGCTGAATGCCATCTGCTGAGTTGTTCTTCAGAAATTCCCTGTCATTTAACTGGAGCAGATAGTGTAAATAAGCGATGGGTTAAAAAAAGTTTGCTTTAAAGCATCTACGCAGGTCCAAAACATGAATTCCTGCTAGATTGCAATGCCCACTCCTGGGGAGAATCAAATCACCAGTGCCCTGTTGGGATGTATAAGGGAAACAATCTCATGGGGAAGAAGGCAAACACGACACCGGGTGCCCATCGTCTCTAGCCCTAGGCTGTGCTGAGCCCTCGCTGTCCCAGGGCGGGGCCCCAGGTCCGCTGGCACCGCGGACAGCTCCGCTCAGCACCGCGGACAGCGCCCGGACCCTGCCGCACCTCGCCCGCAGCTCCGGCGTGGGGAGCGACTGGCGGCTCCGCTACCCCCCTCCCCGAGCCCCAGCGCTACGGGTGCCCGCCCCACACCCCGCTAGGAGGAAGCAGCCGAGTGGCACAAGAGGCAGGAGAGGGCGAGACTGCGCCTGGCCTTGCGGGAAGGTGACGCTGTGGCTGCCACCGGAGCTTTGGAGCTGGTTTATTCCGACTTGAATGCAGGGAAGGAGAAACGGGTGAGGAAGTGCAGCAATCCCTGTGACTCTGTAATATGGACAGAAAAATCGCTGCGTGTGTGTGTACTCAGGGGTAAGATAAGAGCACTCACTCCACTGGTGTATATTTTTTCCCTCTTAGCCCCTCAAGAAGTGAACACTGGGGGAGCCTGAATGGGAGATGGCCTCTGTGGCAATGGGAAGTGTTGCTAGGAGGCTGGGAGGAGGCCCTGCTGCTGTTAGCTGAGGATTAATAGGTGTGTGATATCAAATGTAAAGAAAACAACCAGCTCCCTTGAGATACCAGTGTAATGCAGTCCCATACACACACACACACACACACACACCAGATCTACCTGCAGGTAACCTCAAATAGTCTGCTTCTCTTTTCTCAGGGCTTACAACCCCACTGTGTGCATCATTACAAGCAAAGCCCCCTTCCGAGGACAATCTCTGCAGCTCACTTGGCCTGGGATCTGGGTCTGAGACAGAAAGCATCTGTGCCTTTCACAGCCCAGCAGATGATCCTTCTCCTCACTTACTGCTTCCCCCCAACACAACCCTTTGGGTTTAATTTTTTTAGTACAGCCTGAGCTTAGGCTACGCACCTAGTGAGAGTGACAAGATTCATGTTGATTCTAACAGATTCAGGAGGTGATGTACTAAAAGACTCACTGCAATGATTGTATTAATGGGATTCACAAGGTATCTCAGCTCTCAACATCCCTACTACCAATGCAGCTTTAATGCTAAGGTGTCACCATCTTAATCCCACGTTCCTTCATCTATTCAGAGTGAGAAAGAAGGGTTGAAAGGCTCTAAGATGGAAATAGAAATGAGGGTTCAGTAGCATGAATCTCACAGAACCCTTTGCATTTGGCTTAAATTGTAGGTAATGTAGATCTTTGCAACTGTACATCTCACACCTAAAGGCACAGGGAAATGCACTTACATCTCCCACACACCCCTGGCAGAGCCAAAAACACACTCGGCCATTCCTACTGAAGCTATTTCCTACGATCCCCAGTTACACAGCTGTACATGATGTCGGACACACGGCTCCATGTCACACACACCCATCACACACCAGATCACACACGCGCGTCTACATTAGCACCAGACACTCAGCCTTAGCTGCCAGGGGGGGTCTCTTCCCCCCTGTCCTCTTCTCCCCCTCCCCACCTTGCCCACATCCCCTCCCTGAAAGGATATGGCCATTCTGTTATTCTCTTGGCATATTTCCGTATAACATTATCTTCACTGAAGATGAAGAGGGATCTGTTGACTGTGAAGCAGTTCTGTTTGACAGGGATGGGGTTGTAGAGAGCCATAGTCCTGGCCCTCTGAGCCATCGACTGCTTATACATCCTTTGGCCGGCTTGGGGGCCACCTTGCCGGCTGCTCCCTCTTCCAGCCCCGGCCGGCCCTCCGCCTCCATAGCGGGTTGGCAGATCATCCCCGAACCGAGCCATTCTCTCAGTGCACGGAGCCGGGCGCTACAATCCAAACTGGAAGCCGAGGCGAGAGGAAGACGCATCACAGCGCGCAGCACTTCTCCCTCCGGGGGCTTCGATTGCAGGATCGGGGTTGATCGCAGCGAAATATACAGATAGAGTTAAATATATATATATATATATATATGTATAGATATCTCCCTTTACCTTCCTCCAGCCCTTCCTCTTCCCCGCCGCTGTGGCTGCCCGGGGCCGGGCGGAAGGCGCCGGGGCTCCGCTCACCTCCCCGCACAGGTACCGTCTCTCCTGCCCGACCCCATCCCGGGGCGGCAGCGGCTCCGGCAGGGTCCCTTCTGCGGGGGGAGGCCGGTGGGGCTGGAAGGGGCCGCGCTGCTGCCGTGCCGGCCGCGGGAGCGCTCCGCCGTGCCCAGCCCAGCCCAGCCCGGCCCGGCACGGCCCGGCCCGGCCCGGCCCCGCCGCATGTGATGCCCGGAGCCAATCGGCCGCCGCGGCTCCGCCCGCCCAAGCACCGGCACCGGGAGGCGGGCGGGGAGGGAAGAAGGGAGGCAGGAGGGAGGGATGCAAGGAGGGAAGGATGGAGCCTGCCCGGCCGCCGCCGCCCACCCCGATAAATACGACCAAGACGCGGCCACTCCCCAGGGCCGCGGGGAAGGAGGGATGGATCCCCCCCCGCCTCTGCGCAGCTCTCCGCGGGAGCGCAAAGACCCCGGGGGAGGGCTCCGCCTTGGGGGGACCAGGCGAGGCGGCCCCCGCGCCTGCGCGCCGCTGCCCAGATGTGCATTGCCCAGCTGCTGCACCCATGGGTGTCCCCTCGGCACTGGGCATCGAGTTCCCCCCCCCATAAGAAGTCCTGGAGAACGCCGGGGGCTATGGGCTGGGGGGTGCTGTGTAATGGGGGTGCGGGGTAATGGGGGTGCTCAGCTCAGATCCAGTCCCCGGGGCCGCGGCAGGGATGGGGTGTGGGTGCACCCCCTGCACCAGCACCCGGGGATGGGGCGCTGCAGGGCTGTGTGCGGTCAGCCAGGTTCAGACCGGAGCTGTGCCCTTTCCTCAGACAACTTACTTTGTTTCTCCTTGGTTTGAATGACTCCTGCAGAGCACTTGGATACCTTTAATCCTGTATTTATGGACGAAATCCTTTAATCCTGTTTATTCCAGCACCCTCTGTTGCATCCATCCACCACGAGTCAGAAAGCTAACTCCTCCTTGTTCGCGGAGCGCTTCACGTCAACCGGCACTGCAGTAGCTGGTGAGGATCCGCTTTTGCATGTAGGCTAAATCTGGGATACAAACTATAAACTTCTAGAAAGGACCCTCCAGAGGAGTCAGGGCTGCCAACAGGGGGACATTTTCACTCCCCCACAGTAAGGAAACCCTGGACTCTGCTGCTAATGTGTTTTTTGCCTTAGTCATCCAAGCTGTCTCAGTTCAAAACCAACCCACCAACTAGGGAAGTCTGTAGCAATAACATCTGCTGAATTCAAGAGACAGTGAGAGGGCTGGCACTATCCACAAATGAGGGCTAGCAATAACCAAAGGGTGATTCTCCCGGAGAAACTGGCTCCTTACTCAGGGGTTTGGTATCTCTGAAGGACTTTCTCACACTGCAGCACAGCCCAAAGATACCCTCAGAAGCAGCAGTGGCTGCTGAGTTGAGCCAGGAGCAGCCATAAAGGAGGAGAAAGGTTCATCACATCCTGCTTCCTTGAGGGTCAGAGACAGCAACAGCCACCAACCACCCTGACACAGCCACAACCACCCAACTTCTGTAAACCCAGGGGACCAGGGCAGCAAGAAGCTGCTCCAGTCTGTAGGTTGCCTTCCCATGGCAATGCAATAAATGAAGACTTTCTCCCCAACCCCAGTACTGCATAATTTGCAGATTAAACTGAGTGCTGAAGTCCTTAGGAAAAACTTTGTCCACAGAAGGAAGCTGAAGTCTTTGGGAAATAAAGCCTCATGCCAGGATGCTCCAGCTCCCACTGGCTGAGTGTCCCTCACACACTCAACCAGACCCTGGGCAGAGATTAAACTGAGAGTGTTTCCTCCTGGGAGCCTTTCACCCCCAAGCACTGCCAAGCTGATCCAAGCAACTGGGGCAGCAGAGAGAGTCTTTACTTCATGGGGAGAGGAGGAGGGAACAGGGAGCTCACAGCTGAACAGGGCAGGGGAATGCTCCTCTCTAAAGTGTCCCTGAACCTGTTTTCATTTCCATCCTCACTGTGTTTTTTTCCTATAATGAATTTCTCTTCTCATCTGAAACTCAACTTTCCCCCACCTGATTTATTCAGTTGTCGAATATTTTCACTTCTCTGCTTCTGGTCACCGAATCTGATGCATTTTGTGGTCTTGTGTTTCTTCAGTGGGAAAATCTGGTTCTTTAATCTGCAGCCACTAGAAGGGAAAATGCCATTTTCAGTAATCCCCCACCTCTTCTGACAGAAATCAGCACCTGAAAACAAGGAATGCCTTGGTTTCCACAAACCTTTCTGTCTGCATCCTCCTGTGCTTACAAGGCAGAGGGTGGATGAACAACAAAACAGCTCTGAAAAGTCGAAACCAAAGCAGCGCTGTCTTTGACATCAGGTGGCATTGGGAGTCAGGTAAAACTCTGAGCCCCATATCCCCTTCCCTTATCCCAGAGCCATCAAACCATCCATCCTCTGCCAGGAGCAAGCTCCCCACCACGGCACTGCAGTGAAGACAGCAGACAGGGTGGTGACAGCGAGAAACCGATGTGAGCATGTCATGGGATGTTCTATTAACCCCCAGTTTGCCCTTTTCTCCATCTGTATGCTCAGGGCTTTGCTTTTTTTGCCTCCACACCATAGGGAAGATCACATACATCTTAAGCACTGAAAGCCTTAAAGACAAGAAAGCGATCGCAATTGCAAGGATTATTTAGCTCTGAGAAGGGAAGCATCAGGATTTAGTTGGGCTGTTTGAGATTAGGAAAAGAGCAGGGGAGTTAAGAGAAAACAAAAAGTTTAGAGGGCTGCAAAGGGCAAACATCTCTAATCCACCACGACAGGAGGACAAAGAGCATGTCATGGCGGATTCTAAATACGGATTCAGTCATGAGCAACTCCTCCTCATCAGCTCCAAAGACAGAGGTGAACAAACCACACCGCTCTCCAGCACTGCCTGCTTTGGCTTCAAGAAGAAGCCTTTGTCCTCCCCCAGCAGCTTTGCCAGGCAACCAGGCATTGCCCTGGACTTTCACCTCCATCCCAAGCTCCAAGCCAGAGGCAGGTGGCTGGGTTTAATGGAGCAGCACCTCCATCTGGAAAGGTGAAGCCCCCCAGCAAGGTGACAGGGTAGAGAAAATACTGCAGGTCTTTGCCTGTCCCATGACTGGGACACTTGGATGGCTGCAAGCACCAGTGGCACTGTTTATCTGCCCTGGCAACACAGCTCACAGGCATGCCCAGGGCAGTCTGGCTCTGCCTCAGGGGGCGAGGGTTCTGATTGAACCACAGAAGAAGTGGGCTTTCAGCTTGCTGTGCTCCAGAGGCATGAGCGCAGCATCCTCTATGAGGGACAGAGGCTAAAACTGGGGGATGCAATCCCAACATCCCTCACTGAACAGCTTGGGGGGGACACTTGCAGAAGCCACCACTTCAAGCCCATGCAACTTGAAGCTCTGGATCCAGGTTATTGCCAAAGCAAGCAGCTCCCAGGAGCATATTTCCTTCAAAAAACTCAACAAACCCCGCAGGCTGCACCTCACCTTCCAGCCCAGGGAAGGTCCACAGCTCCAGGCCAAGAAAAGCAGCTTCCCAAAACATTCCCAGCCAGCCATGTCCGCTCTCCTCACTCCCAAACACACATTCTGGACCAGCTGTGCTAGAGGAACAGCCTGCTGTGATGCAGGGAGAGAAAATTGTTAAAGACTGTGTTGGAGCCTGCCAGACAATGCAGAACGCATCGTGTCAAAGGCAACGAGGGGAGGGCAGCAAGGAAGTGCTCTGGTGCTTTTCATCAGGAATTGAAGGATACGAGAGTGAACAAAGGGAAAGAGAGGCCACATGAAGGTACAGCTCCTCTTAGGCATGTGTACGTTCTGTAACCACTGCCCAATTGCCCTCAGCTCTGTGCAAATACAGAGTGAAAGAGACCCTGCCTTCAGAGCCCATCAGTATCAATGGCAAAGCCCCTGGGCTGTACCAGCCTGGCACAGGATTTCATCTCTGCACAAAGGGATGCACAAGTGAGCACCACCCCAAGCCCACAGCACCACCCAGCTCTTCCAGCCCAGGAGATCACATCAAGCTTGGTATTTACAAGAGCTTAAACACTCAAAATGGAGGGAAGGGGAACTGAGGCACAGTGATTACAGAGCAGGTCATGGAGGGAAGTCAGGTACCGTGTGTCCCAGCTCAGCACCTTTTCCACATCACCTCTCCCCCTTGAGTGAACACCAGGAAACCAAGAGTGGTTGCACTTATTTTGTTTCCCTTGAACTTAAGTCCTTTGTAGATGGACCATGACATGAAACCCCGCAGCCATTCTTTGGCTGTGGAGGAAGGTAGTTGAAATTTGATGGTGTCTGTGCTTCACATCCCAGGTAGCCAAATAACCAGGCAGTCAGCTCAGGGAGTACTTCAACAAACAGGACCAATGTCTGAATAACACCACACTAGAAAATTCACAGCAATGAACAACTATGGAATCACAAGACACAGTGAAGAAAGGCTGTCCACGGGTTGAAGACATACAAGAAACCTTCTGCTTGGTGCCCAGTGTCCCCCTCACAGTGTTACTGCCCCGCATCTGAGCCCCAGCAATACCACAACAGTGTTTGCTCTGTAGAAAAGCAACCCCGTGATGATGGACAAAAAGTACTGTTAGTTTCAAATCAGGCATCGTATCTTTATTCTCTTTGCCATTTCTACACCACCAGTCTCCAAGACTGACCAGCCAGCAGGGAAAGGCAACAGGTTCACACCTTCTCTTCCATTGCTTTGGACCTCAATTCAACTGAGAACTTGCTCACCAGAGAGGGGGATTGGTGAGCTTTAGCCTGCCTGTCACTGCAGATCTGTTTGTGGTACCACAAGGATCAGACAGTTAATCCTCCTTAAGATTCAGGCCTGTTCTCTGCTTGGGCTCTTCTGAAAATCTGCTTGGATGCTTCTCAACACCCAGGTGTCAAAACACCCCTTCAAAGCTGACATCAGACACACTGGAGTAATGCACAGGATCAGCTCTACGTGAGCATCACTCTTGACACCCAAGAGTGAGAAGCATCATATGAACTGATAGAGCACCAAGACTTTATCAGTCCAGATGAGGAGCTGGATGGGTTGGCAAAGGAAAGTCAGAGAAGTTTGGGAATTCCACCAGTCACTTGCCCACAGGTTAATGCAAGCTGAAGACAGGCTGCTCCCAGGTTCTTCTCCACATAGACCCAGCAGTGTCTGTACTTGGCCCCCGCAGACATCTGCTGTGTATTATGCAAAG